GAAAAACTTTCCATTTTCTTTTGATATGTTTCATATGCTTTATTAAATTAATTACCATTAATAATATTAAATGTTCTTTAATTTTTTAATAATTATTAATATTATTTCAAATTTCAGTTTTTTTCTATTTTAATAAACATTAATATTATTCAAATTTATAATAATTAAATAAATAATTAACGGTATCCATTAATATTATTTTAAATAATAATTTTTTTTAATTTTAATAATATTAAATGTCCTTCAGTTTTTAAAATAATTAATAAAATCACTAATATTATTCAAGGAATAAAAAATTTTCAGGTTTTTTATTGTGATTAATAAAATTAATAGTATTGTCATTAGTGAAAATTTTAAAATTAATTTTCTTATATTATTAGAAATTTGTAAAGTGAATATGAATAGAAAAAGGAAAGTACTGAAAAATTTAAACCTAAGTTATTAATTATTAAAAAAATTGAAAATTTTTTTCATTATATTTGTTCAATGGATGGAGTATTAATTATATATTTTAAAATATTTTTTTTAACTAAATAATTGGAAAAAATATTTAAGAATAAAACTTAACAATGGTCAAATATTTAGATATGCCACTTAAATTTTCAACTTTAGCTAATTTTTCAACTTGAACTAACTAACTTTTGTTACAAATCTTGATAATATAATACATTTTCCCATAAAATATTACAATCTTGTTATAAACTTTTGTTACACATGAAGTTTGGTTCTTGGGTTAAATGGATACCCAAAATTTTTGGCTCAATCTTGGTTTTTTTGAAGACGAAAAAAAGGAAAAAAAAAAAAAAAAAACCTAAAGTCAATACATGAAATAAACCGATTGAACCAATCAAATGGTTTTAAATACCATTTTGATTCAATTCATTTCATTTTAAAAAGTTTAGTTTGGCTGATTTACTTCGTCACCCTTAATAGTCAATATAATTTTTGCAATATTAATCTTTATTCTTTACATATATTTCAATCATCTAATACATATTTAACAGAATAATATTAAAAATTAAAGTATTTAATAAATATAATTTTATAAATTAATTTTGTTTAATAAGTCAAAGTGAATAGATTTTTTATATGTATATATATTTTTATAAAGGTGAGGGTCCAATTTATGCATTTGGTCCACTTACAATTAACAAGTATCTTCCATGCCATACTTTATTCTCCATCCTTGGCGCATGAAATAGAAAAAAGTGGAATAGCCAATCTGCCTATTTTAAATAGAAAATTTTTAAAAAAGGCACCAACTTTCTTTAAATAGAAAAATTATCCCAAAATCACAACCATCTTGGTTTGTCTCTGACAAGCCAGTCACGTCACGTGCTAGTCGAAATCATTAAACTTTAAAAAATCAACCAATCTAAAATTAAAAAATTCTTATTTGTTGGGTCACTTAGCTGCACTCTCATTGGAGCAACACAACTTATAATAGCCAATTAGTTAATGACAAGAAAGAAAAATGGATTAAAAAGTAAATTTGTTGTCTAATTTAGAAATATTTTCTTTTTTTTTTATTTGAAAAAAAGGGGTTGATTTGATTATAGTAAAATGGAGAAATCATATTGCCTTATTAGCTTAAAAAAATTAATATGAATACATGCATGGGTACATTGCTTTTTTGGCTGATAGATTGTCCATTGAATTTTCAATCTATTGATATAAATTAAATTAGGAAATAAAATAAATTTCAATTGAATTTCTTGGATATTTTATACTCTCTTTTAATACATTTATAGTAGTTTTGTTCTGTCACTCTACCTATCAAAAAGATATAATGGTATCTCTTTTTTTTATTATTATTATTAGGAATGATATTTAATTTGTCTCCTTAACTTTGAGGCAATATATAATTTAATTGAAGATTAATTTTTTATCTAATTATAATCCAAACTTTATACCAAATAATAAAAGTTTGAATTTTCTAAAAATAAAATAAATGATGATTTTTAATATTATAATTAATGAAAACTATTTCATTTAAAAATAAAATATCTAAAATATTTACATTATGCTTTGTATAAATAAATTCAAATATAAAAATTATTTATAAATAAAATATAGGTAGAATTCATATATGTAAATGAAATTTTGGTGCTTGGAATAAATATAAAATTTAAAATTCATTTATTTTTTCTAAAATATTATTGAAATAATAATTTTAGAAGACGAAGAAGATCTGTAGATTTATTATGAAGGTTTGAATCATTTAAATTTATGGATTTTATTTGCAAATTTCACAAATTTGATTTAGTTAAATTTAATTCCACATAATTCGATTTGTAGGATTTAAATTTTCATTTTTCTTTTCGTACCTAATAAAAAAAAATCTATATTTATAATCAAATTTTACAAAATTTTATAAAAATTCATTTATTGCAAATAAGAGATAGTCTATTTTAAAACATTTAAAAAAAATCAAAGAATGTTTAGTTAAAAATATTTAAAAATTATTTTTATTTTATTTTCAGTAAATAGATCATTTAATATAAAATTGGAGTAATACTCCCCCTATTCTAAAATTCCAAAATACAAGCCATTTTTGCATGATTATTTTTGTCCTAAAATATAAGTGGTTTTGAATATTTTAATGAGTAATAAATGATGTTTTTTCAATGTTACCGTTGTTGAGATTAGTTACAATAAATATTTTCACAAGTAACTATTGGTTTCGAGATAAATGATAACTTGATTACATTAGCTTTGAGTTTGTTATAATACAGAAGAATTAATTATTTTTGAGTAATAAATGATGTTTTTTCAATGTTACCGTTGTTGAGATTAGTTACAATAAATATTTTCACAAGTAACTATTGGTTTCGAGATAAATGATAACTTGATTACATTAGCTTTGAGTTTGTTATAATACAGAAGAATTAATTATTTTTACAACAGCTTAAACGATTTATATTTTGGGATAGAAAAAGTAATTACATAAAAATTTTCTGAAAAGAAATATACATTAATAATAAATTATATATCAACTCAAATTTGTTAAATAATATATATTTTCATATAAACAATTTGCAACCCAATCTAAATCACATAATTCTAACAATTAAATCACTAGATTCCAAATGATGGCGTGGATCATGCATGGGGTGAACTCCATTTTTTATGGACCAACATTATAAATTCTCAAAAAAATGTCTACTTGCATGTGAATCCAATTTATTTTCTGTTTCCATTACCCAAAATTTACATTCCTAAGTATATTGGTCTGAAAAATACTCAAATCGAAATGGTCTGAGAAATACTCAAACCAAAATGGTTTAAAAGTTTTGGTTTCAGAACGATTTTAGAATAATACATTTTATATTAGCCAAATGCATGAATTCATCCGTATATTTTATATAAAAAAAAATTTATACCACTTTCAATTTTTACTTTGATCAATTAAATACTTAAATTTATAAAATTTTACCTATTGAATAATTCAACGACTTATAAAATTAGATATATTAAACACTTATTAAATAATTGAAAATTGTAAAAATTATTATTTTAAAAGTCGTATTACTTGCATATCAAATTAATATTTTGCATTTAAAAATAAAAACATCAAAAAATTAGTATTGCTAATTTAAATAAACGCACAATATTATTAAAATTTACAATTTTAAAAATATAATAAATCTTATGCAAAATTTAAGATGTCATAGTTTTTTTATTATAAAATATAGTAGCGAATTTATACATTTAAATAATTTTATATTTAAGGTTAACACGCATGTTACGACAAACTATTTTATGATTCTTCCATGAAAATTATTATTATTAATAATGCTTTTCTCTATAGATAGGCTAAAGACTATGGTCCTCCCTTTGGACAAGTTTGCGCTGATTACTCCTGGTCAAAGAATAATAAATTGCCTCATTTAGAAAAACACCTTTAGTTTCCGGCATCAAAACGCAACAAAAGTTAAACTAAAACTTGCAAAAAGAAAAATTGTTGGATTAGCTTTAACCAATTCGTAGTTTTCAGCAGCAGTGATTCAATGCATTTAGATATTTGCCGAAATGTCTTAATTTTACTATTATCGATATATCTAATTTTAAATATTGGATCAATCAACTGCTATCTGTCGGTACGATTAAATAAATTAAATAAAGAATATTTAATATTATTTTTCAAAATTATGGAGCTTATTTATATTTTTATGCCATTACATTTAGAAAGAGTATTGAAATCTTCCACATAAATTTCATGTAGCTCAATTTGAAAAAAAAAAAGTAGTTAACTAAATTATCATTTAATTAATACTCTTTTTATTAAAATAAAATTTACTGGGGATATCTAACAATAGTAAAATTACAAATAAAAAAATAATACAATTTTCTAAAATTACTATCTAAATAAAAAAAGAAATAAAAAAGTGTCAAATTTAAATCCACCGCAAGAATAATAACTAGTATTGCATAAATATAATTTCCTCCTAAATTGATTAATTAACACTAATCAAGACACAAGAAAGTGAATGGCCATCACGCATTCCAAGTGATGAGAGAAAAAGAAAAGTTTAATCCCAAATACACGAACACGACCCAAACATCTTACATCCTTTACAGCCATGTACAACAAACCACCCGTATTAGTATCAGAACCCAACAACCATCACATGCTGTTGTATAAAAAGCGAAAAAAATAAATTTTAAAATAAAAATTGACGTCCCATTTCGTCAGTTCACAAAAAATAGAGGGCTTTTATCGTCCTTTTACACCTTCTTCAATTCCCGATAACCAATTGATGAATTTACTTTTTGCCTACAAAATGTTTTACAAAAATCTAAGTCTAATCCCTGTAAACACAAAACCCGCGAGTTTTCACAAACCTTGCTAACGCGCGCTTGATATTAGACAAGGGCACACCGCCGTAAAATCTTACGTGTCGAAACGGCTTTCGTGCTAAGTTTTACGTGTGCTCTCGCTACAAAAGGTGTGCACCCACGCACACTGCGTTTTTTAGCATCCCTCTCTATTACTTAGTCGTATATTTCTATTTTCAATTTCCCACCGAATTCCTCTCTCCTCTCGCACTCTCATATTTTATTTTTTCCGCTTAAATTACGTACTCTGAGCAAACCTCTCTTCTTCCCTTTGCTCCTCTCTCTCCACCGCCCTAGTTTTCCATTTTGAAAAACCGTTTCCGCCTCTATTTTCCTTTCTACGGCCATTAAACCGCCACAAGAAGTTCCACAAACAACCTTTTCTTGATCTACTACTACTATTATTATTATTATCATCATCATCATCATCATCTTAAGCAAGCTTGGTAGCTCCTTTTGAAGCTTACTTTCGAAGTAGACGAAGAGAAATGGATTGTTGATCAGGTCTTAATCAATATTAACGAAAATGCGTTATGTTTTTTGGTTCTGCTAGTTGAATATCATATTATCTGCTTGATTTTCAGGGATTGGCCGGTCAAACTAGTGGTTATATTCATTGTTTTGAATTTGAAGATGACCTGAATTTCTCTCTCTTTCTGTTTGGCCTGAGAGAGACAAATTAAGAGTCAAAAGCGAGCATACGTGCGCTCGTGCGGGTGTGCTCTTTCGTTTTATTTGGTGGTTGTTTCGGTTGCTGCTGTGACGTCCGAGAGAAATGCCTCACAGAACGACTTACTTCTTCCCTAGGCAATTTCCGGATCGGTCTGGATTCAATGCAACTTCTAATCTACTCTCCGATTACGAGAAGAAGAAGGTAATCAAAGACACTTTTAACACCGAAAATGACCAACGAAATGACTTTACGACTACAGTTGGAAAGATCATATCACCAACCCCTACGACGACTCGAACCCCAACGACAACGACTACTGCTGCTGCACTAACTCCAGTATCCGATCTCTTCACGAGCAGCGATGACGAGAAGTACCATGGAAAGAAGAATAAGCAATTTGGCGAGGATGATAAGTTTCAAAAAAAGAAAAAGCAACTTGCCGCTTTTTACGATTGGTTGGCCGAGAAAAAGGCGAATGGAGCTGCTGCTCATGTGAAGTTGCAAAGATTATCGTCTGATGACGAGGATCGTTATCTCTTGCTTGCGCCGGAAATTGTAGAGCCGGAGCGGGGGCAGGAGCAGGAGCCTGAGCCTGAGCCTGTGCCGGAACCGGAGATTATCAAAGAAAGGGATGTCGACCGGAACTTTGATTGCCAGGTGTCGTTGCCTAGATTATCGAGCGGAAGTAGTTATGCGGGAAGCTTGTTTTCTGGAACTACATTGGATGGGAACTTTTTGAGCGATGTTAAGGACACTGCAACGACTACTACGAGGCGGGAGGTGGTGCAGGAACAGGCACTGGTGGTGGAGGAGGATGGGAAGAGCGATGACAAGGTGGCGCAAAGGACTAAAGAAGTTTACTATTTGCAGTTGGCTTTGGCTAAAAGGCTTAGTTTTCAATCTGGTCTTGCTAGTGAGCTTGTGCTTTTGCAGGAGGGCGGACCTGAGTTCTCCTTTGACGTAGAAACAGTATCTTATCGTCTATGGGTACGCAGTCACTGCCTCTCCCTTTTTCATTTTCATTGTCGTATCAATTGGTCAATCAAACAACGTTACTGTTCTTCATATTTGAATAGCTTTCGTTTTGAAGAGTAGAGTTATCATGGTTAATACCAAAGGGAATTACAAATTTGGTCTGGCTATGGCCTTTCCCTCTAAAGATTTATAAGTTTCACCATTCTACAATTATTTGTGAGCGTTAAGTCGATAGTGAACGTTAAGCGATAATGCTCGTGTGCTTTTCAGGTCAGTGGATGCTTGTCATACAGTGACAGGATATCAGATGGATTCTATAACATTCTCGGGATGAATCCATATTTGTGGGTGATGTGCAATGATGAAGATGAAGGAAGGCGGTTGCCGTCTTTAATGTCCCTTAAAGAAATTGAACCTAGTCAGACATCAATGGAAGTGGTTCTCGTTGATGGCCGTGGCGACTCACGCCTTAAGGAGCTAGAGGATAAAGCTCATGAACTGTACTGTGCCTCTGAAAATACATTGGTGTTTGTGGAGAAACTGGGAAAACTCGTTGCTATTTGCATGGGGTAAGTTCCATCATTTCTCCTTCGCTTATCAATTGATGCTTGTACATCTCTTTAATTTTATGTACTTAAAATTTCAGAGGGACTTTCCCTGTGGAGCAAGGTGATCTTCATAAACGCTGGAAAGTAGTTAGCGGGAGATTGAGGGATTTCCACAAGTGTATTGTGCTCCCCATTGGCAGCCTATCCACAGGACTCTGTAGGCATCGCGCAATTCTGTTTAAGGTGACGGTTCAGTTTTCTTGGTTCTGTTTTTTGAAATTATGTTTGTTAAACATATTTCTGTATTTTTCCCGAGTACGATGTACATGGTCGAAGTTGACCATCAAATTAGAATAAATGCCGTGGTGAAGTGCATTTTTTAAGAGAACTTTAGCGCTTAGTAGTTATCTAATCGACGTATGTAACTGTGGAGAGTAATTTTACTTACGGATAGGGGAATATGGTGGATGGTATATTGTATTATCATATCAGGGGATTTCAACTGAATGTTGGAGATGAACTCTTTGGTTTGGTGACAACTAGGTTGATAGTTCAAGGGTTTTGATTAGTGTCGATTGTATAGGAGATCCCTTTCCCCTGCACCTTTCTTGTGGGAAAACGATGCTCTTGCAGTTTCTGTGTGGGTTGATGCCCCTGGATTTAAGGTAGCAGTCTTAAAGTGCCTACTGTTAGTTGATTTGTTTATTGGGGTATCTAGTGTTTAAATTTAATTGTTTGAGCTGTTTTAGTTACAATTTGTGAACGCATGCTTGTTTATAAAATCTAAAGGATAGTAAATTACTGCCACTTTTTATTTCCTCCCTCCCTCTCAAATCATTACTTTTTCTAACTTTTCAGAAGCTTAAGTATAGTTTCCAGATTTACTATTTTATAGGGACTTGGGATTATGGCTTTTAGTGTAGATTACTTTGCCAGGACTCCTGTCATAATAAGACGGGTACCATAAAGCATACATGAATGCCTGAACTGGGGTATTGATACAATTTTATTCCTGATAATGCAACTGATTTAGAAACATAAAGTGCCACCTGCAATTAGAGTAAGGTAGTTATGACTTCTTTCCCCTTGTTCATTGAGTAGGTGTTTATAGCTTGTTCTGATGAATGGCAAAATGTCAATTTATATAGGACAACGGCATTATTGATATATGTTCGTTGATCAATGTATATTTTGTTCCTCATGATGGGAATAGAATATAAGCTTTTAACATTTGGGAAGTTATTATTACTTCTAGAAGTATTGTGCCCCCTCATATGCATAGATTGGATTGGAAGCACTATGAACAAATTTGCTTATGCTGCTACTTCGTTAAAATCCTACTTAAATTGAAAGTGGATTCACCAATAGCATTTTGAGCTAATATGAGTAACTTCTATTTGTAATGCATTATAAACTACATGGCACATGCATTGTGGTTTTGATACGTGCTCTGGGAAGTATGTTTTCATACCAACCAAAAAAAAAAAAAAATTGTGGAATTTTGATAACTAATGGTAAATATTTTTTTGGAATTTGCAGAAGTTGGCAGACTACATAGGTTTGCCGTGTCGGATAGCTCGAGGGTGCAAGTATTGTGTAGCGGACCATAGATCTTCTTGCCTTGTCAAAATTGAGGATGACAGACAGTTGTCCAGGTTTGATAACTTTATTGAGCCACCTAAAACGAAGTTTGAATTTTTTTTTTTTTTTTTTTTTTTTTGACAGGACGTTTTGTCAGGTTGATAAACTTTGATTCGAGCTACTAAAACGAAGTTGTGAATTTTTTTTTTTTTTTTTTTTTTTTATTTAAATAAGAGACTGGCAGTTGGTTCCTTATTACTTTAGTTTTTGGTGAAGAAATATTTGAGGTGTTGGCCTAGCTGCAGGATAATGCCAAATGCTTGGTTTCTAGATATTTTGGCTGGTGTTGTGGTGCTGGATATGACTTGTCTTATAATTCTTCTGCTTGTTTCCCTCTTGATATGTTTCAATGGGCATCTGCAAAATATTTTTTTGTTTTTTAATGACATTTTCATGCTAATGATACTTTTGTGCATTCCTCTTACCTCTTGATACTGCACTAATATGCGTTTATGGCACGCTGCTCATTGACTTTGCGTAAATGGAACTTATATTGGTTTAATGAATTTGAAACTTATACCGGACAATGTAATAACATACGAAAATCAATATTTTTTTTTTTTTTTTTTTTTTTTAAAAAGAACTGCAGTTGGTCCTCTATACTTTAGTTTTTGGTGAAGAATATTTGAGGTGTTAGGCCTAGCTGCAGGATAATCCAGTGCTTGGATATCTAGATATTTTGCTGGTGTTTGGTTGCTGGGATAACTTTCTTATAATTTCTCTTGTTTCCCTCTTGATATGTTCAATGGCATCTGCAAAATATTTTTGTTTTTAATACATTTTATGGCTAATGATAATTTCTGTGCATTCCTCTTACCTCTTGATACTCACTAATATGCTTTATGGCACCCTCATTGAACTTTTGAGTTAAATGGAACTTATTGGTTAAATGAATTTGAAACTTATACCACAATTCAATACAACAAAATCACAAGTGTTAAAACTTGTCTACCTTTATGGTTGCGTCTCTTCCTTCTTATCTTTTCCTTGTTTATATGTGTATGTCTTTATTTCTTAACAGGGAATATGTAGTTGATCTTGTTGGGCAGCCAGGAAATATCCATGGTCCAGATTCCACCATCAATGGAGGATTCGTATCTTCTATCCCTTCGCCATTTCAGATTTCTCATCTAAAAGAGTTCCAAAATTCCTACGTGGATAATGCTACTTGTCAGCTTCTAAGTTCAAAACCTTCAGCTATTCCTAGAATTCCTCAACGATCAGGTATGCTAGGTTTGACATGTAAAAAAAATAGTTTTTATATTGTTTAATGCATGAAAGAGCTGAAAGAATTGAGCATGGCTAAATGAATCGTGGTGAACGCTAGATACAAGTATTTAATGCCATCAATATTATAATTACAGGACTAACTTACTGATCCTTATGCTAAATATGATGTTTGTATTACCTTTGTTTGCAATTAGCATGTCCATGGATTGACATTATATCTATGTAGCATTAGGTTCTCACTCTTGTTAAACTTACCACATGTTACTTACATATCATTATATACATGAATCACACTTATCTGTAGCTGATCATGTTAATGGAGATCAAAACTTGAACTCTTGCAGGCAGGGAAGAAGGCAGCCAACAAACTGGGAATCTCAAGTTCTCCACATACATTCCAGTTGATCAAGCCTCTCTTGGAAATGGTTCGTCGCTGACATCTTTAGACACAACTGGGAATGCTGAAGCTCTTGATGGAGCTGCAGTGCCATCAATTCATGAATGTTCTACCTTTGAACTTGAAGCAGACCGAGTTGTTATACAACCAACTTACAAAAAAGAGATTGTGGTGTCTGGAAGTCCAATTGTCAACAATGCTCTCAAGCAAAATAGCATGAACTTATCATGTCAGTCGGATGTGAAAGAGGTGGAGAGCAAGCTTGCCAATCAAGGCAGATTACACACTGCGACCATCCCACAATATTTGAATCTTGAACCTTCACTTGCGATGGACTGGCTTGAGATCTCATGGGATGAATTGCATATCAAGGAGCGAGTTGGAGCTGGTACATGCTTTCCTGCACCTATATTAGCTATTTTATTTTTTAATGGATTAGAAATTACTCCTCTTTGAAGGCAATTATGTCAACATGTACATCTCTTTATATTTTCAGGCTCATTTGGGACAGTACATCGTGCTGAATGGCATGGATCGGTTAGTACGCAAACCTGAAATATATGTATATTGATTTAATTTCTTCAGAGAATGGCTTCAAGTTTTATTTTTGTAACTGATGTTCTGCAATTCAGTCGTCTTCCTCTCCCTCTCCCTCTCTCTCTGACGCACACACGCATATATCAGTTTTTTTTCTGGGGATGCTGCAAACTTATTTCTTTTTCTATTAGTATTATTATCATTGACTGTGTTTTGCCTATGGTTAATGATGATCTTGTTGTGACAATGCAGGATGTTGCTGTCAAGGTTTTATCTGTTCAAGATTTCCATGATGATCAGTTGAGGGAGTTTTTAAGAGAGGTAAGTACTTGTTTACTCCTTCATTTTGCAGAAAGATTACAAATGTTAGATGTCTTCTTCCAACCAGTTTTTTCTTGGACTAGTAAATTGAAGTTCTAAGCATTTTTCTTTAGGTTGCAATAATGAAACGTGTCCGCCATCCAAATGTGGTTCTTTTCATGGGTGCCGTCACAAAGCGTCCTCATCTATCAATAGTGACAGAATATCTACCCAGGTATATCATCCTATTACTTGCTTGATAACTACTTTAATGTTCATCAGCACAGGCAGTTTGGAAGTCTAACCTGCATTGTGGAACAGGGGTAGTCTATACCGCCTCATACACAGGCCAACTGCTGGGGAAATGCTGGATCAAAGGAGGCGGTTACGTATGGCGTTGGATGTGGTATGTGATAGTGATTACGGTTGTTTTATTTTTTATTTGCTTGTAACATCTGTTTAGCAATGAATGCTGATGCTTACTGAATGCAGGCGAAGGGCATCAATTACCTTCATTGTCTGAACCCTCCGGTTGTTCATTGGGACCTTAAATCTCCAAATTTGTTGGTGGATAAAAATTGGACAGTGAAGGTAAAAGATCAAAACTCTTCCATGTGTTTTTCGTGCGGGCAGCTTATTTTTGCGTTAATAATTCACATTTCTACTCTCAGGTGTGTGATTTTGGGCTGTCTAGGTTTAAAGCAAACACATTCATATCATCAAAATCAGTAGCAGGAACAGTAAGTCTCTCTCTCTCTCAATCTATTTCTCTTGGCTGAAAATTATAGATTAATGTACTGATTAATTACAAGACGGCTATAAATTAGTTTTTGCAGTTCTCAATTGTGGAGCAAAAAGGCTCCATATCAGCCAACTCTTTTGGTACCAGAAAATAACAAAACTATTTTAAAAGAACTTTTCATCAATTGTCAGTTTGTTGTGTTGTCGATTGTTATAACAATCTCATCAATCGTCAATGTACTCTTCTTGCTAACCTGTTTTTTGCTGTTGTCCTGCGTCATATGTTTTCCAGTCAATAAATGTGAGCTCTTTTAATCAAATCCGTAGAAAGTCAGATATTCACTATATCTTGCAGAAGTGCATCAATCAGCGTGTAACTCTCTTGCTTTTATTTTCAGCCTGAGTGGATGGCTCCAGAGTTTCTCCGTGGAGAGCCCTCAAATGAGAAATCTGATGTCTATAGTTTTGGAGTCATCTTATGGGAGCTTGTTACCATGCAACAGCCTTGGAATGGACTTAGTCCTGCACAGGTATAACCAGTGAGAATTTGACATGTCTATGTAACCTTTTTCCTGTTTGCTCTTTTTTTTTTTCCCCTTATTTTGACTTCCCTTCTTAACATTTTGTTTGGATAGAGGGAAAATAAGGGAGTAAGGAAAATAAGGATTGGTATTTTACCTTGTTTAGAAAAGATGATATAAAATAAAGACAGAAGAAAAATAGTTATTATTTTCCTTCCGTTCCTTTTCTCTCCAATTTGGAGAGTACATAAGGAAAGAATGGATCTTATTCAAAACGAAGGAAGAAAATGGAATTGAATTTCAAACTTTTCCTTCCTTATTTTTTGTTCCTATTTTGTTTCCTTCCCCTGCTATTATCCAAACATAAGTGTTAAAGTATCATTAAAAACATTCCTTTTTAAAATTGTTACTGGTCCTGTAAATTCATGCATAGAACGCAGTGTACATTTCTATTGTTGTTAATACGGTGTTATTTTATTATATTGAATTTATATGAATACGATGTGATGTTTCAGGTGGTTGGAGCTGTAGCTTTCCAGAACAGAAGGCTTACCATACCACCAAATACCTCCCCAGCGCTGACTTCTCTTATGGAATCTTGCTGGGCTGAGTAAGTACTCTTGAATCTCATAGTCCAATGTCTATTGCTACTTCCACAAATATATCTGCTGTGTTAAAGAGGGGTTTTATTTTAATATTTCTTTGGCACGTTAGATAATAGGACACTATAAACAGTGCATCTCTCCTCATGTGCCTGCTTCATTCCTCCATGGGATGGGTACCTGCAGTTTTGATACTTACACTAGTTACATGTGGAACTTGTTACTGATCAAATATTGATAACATTGTGCTCTGAGTCAAACTTTTGTTCAAATGCACCCTTGGCAGTTTTAGAAAAACCAATTTCCGGGATCAAATATATAACAAATTATAATGTGACTTCCGCCATTGAGAAAAATATGTGTATCTGAAGGAAATTAATCAACCCTTTTCAATAACATTGATCCGCCATTGAAATGAGCTCACCTGGAACACTTGGTTTGAAGGTTTAATATAGATCAAATATAAGTATAACATTGTTCGTACAATTAGAAAAGAGAGCTTGCTTTAGTTTTCTGCAAGCTTTTTCATATTTTGGCTCTATAACTGTTGCACTGCTATCTTTGTGTTGGATGGCCAAAGTATCGGCTGTTGCACCTTGGTTTCTGAAGCATTAGAAAGACACTTACCTTTATTGATCGAAAAATAATCTGCTCTGTTCTATTTTCCAGTGCATTCCTAATGCTTATTTTTCATGACAGTGATCCAGCTCAGCGCCCGACTTTTGGTAAGATAGTAGAGACATTGAAGAAGCTGCAGAAGTCTCCAATTCAGTTGATACAAATGGGTGGACAATAATAGTGCTTCCACCAAGCCACGTAATAATATGGATGGAATGCTTCGAGTAATAGAGAGCTGTTTTCGGAGACATAGTTGAGACTAGCAATTAGTAACTGAAACATCTTAGTACTTTTGTACTACTAACAGAACCGGTTCCATTCCCAGCAACTGTAGATTTGTTGCTTATCTAACCTATTTGGAAGGCAGTGGAAGTCGCCGATGTGGAAACCTGCTGTTTAATGCGCAGAGGTTCCTTCTGTATTTGTATATATGAGAAGTCTTTCTCATATGAGCTATTTCTTCTTGCATATCCGGAAAATATAGTTGTATTCTGGATCTACTTCCAAATGTAATATTTTGTTTGTAACAAACGCTGCAGTTCTGAACTGTGATGAGGAAGTATCCTCGTAAATGTTCTTATAATTGCATCATGATGTAATAATAACCAAACTCCCCTGTATATATTTGAACTTGAACGCAAATGGAAGTGGGTGAACGAAACTTTATGCTAATTTATCGCATTAGCAAAGAGGAAGTATAATGTATGTTCTATTCGAGTCGAAGTTTCCAATGACACCATTTCTGCTAATCAATTTATTAAGGGACAGGACCTGTTATTTCAAACAATAAAATATTCATTATAGGTATGAAAGGAATGTAACTCGATCAGTGTAACCATATTTATTATTATCTTTAATCAGGAAAATAATTTCACTTCGGCATGTGATTTTATTTCGATATTTTCTATTTCTAAATCCCCGAATAGTATCTTTTTATGCTATTATTCAGGCTTTTGGTAATTTAGTACTGGATAATTGGACTCCATTTAACGGACGTCAAATACGGCGGCTATACCAAGACCCGGTCCCCACCAAAAGCGTAAATCGTCAATGGAGGTGTCCTTTCTATATAATACATCCAACCTCGATCGGATTCTTCCAGTGCCCGATCAAATCACACTTTCCTTCTGTTACAGATCAAGGAGTTGTTGCAAGAGAGAATGGAGAAAATGGTTGCCGATATCCTTTTACAAGCACTCTTGATCCTGATAGGAATATTCGGCTACCTCTATGTTCACGAAATCCCTCAAAAAGCTCTAGCCAAATTCCGCGAGTATCGCAGTCGTCCCGGCGTTGAAGCTAAGCGCCACTTTGTCCTCGGCGCTCGGACCCTGTCGCTAGCTAGATCTCCTGATAACTCTCACTCTACTACTATCTCCTTAGCCAAAAAGGCTGAAGATGAAGCAGACAAAGCCATCTCGCTCGATCCCAAAGACGCCGCTGTTCATATACTGAAAGCTTTATCTCTGGATCTACAGGGATTTAAGTCCTCCGCGCTTGACTCGCTCGATGTGGCTCTATCGCCGCTCGCCGTGAAGTCGTTGACCGAGAGTGAGAAAGGAGATGCGCTGTTCAAGAGAGCTGAGTTGGTGGTCGGGACGAATCGGAGCGAGCGGGTTGATGCAGCGATTCAGGATTTGACTCAGGCTGTGAAATTGAATAAGGAGAACGCGAATGCGTTCCGTTTATTAGGTGAGTGCTATGAGGCGAAGAAGATGGAAGAGGAAGCTAAAAGTGCCTATGAGGAAGCTTTGAAGTTGCAGCCTGAAATGGCTTCAGCTAAAGCTGCCCTTGAACGGTTGACGAGTTCCGAGTAAAAGCCGCCGCCGCCGTGTTCTAATGTGTTCAGTATATGATTTGTAAACTGTTTTGACTTTAATAGTCAACTATTGAGACTGTTGTAGTTTATTCGGTGAAAATTTCGGATCCTCTTACTCCCTTGTGTATAAATGCTGAAGAAGCAAAGGGTTCGTTGAATTAACTTTTGGCCATTTGATTTTGAAAACAAGTTCATGTTTGAAACTATTGCTTATCGAATAGATCGATTGTGAGGGTAAAAATTTCATTGGAAACAATCAGATGAAATAGGAACTCAAAATTGATATCAAATTTGGGCCAAAGAGTGCGCCTTGTCTAAATTGGAACTGGTTGCCTTCACAGATAACTCTGAACAAGTCCATGACATCATTTATACACATGTTCTTCTTGAAAGTTTGAAGTCCCATTATTTTCTCCTCTTAACTGGTACTAGTTTGGTCAGGATTTCTAGGGTTCACCCAGTTTTCCTGGAATGAAATCCGGATAACGGAATCTTTTGTGCCTCTCAACTTTTCCTTTGTGAGTTATGTTTATATTGTGACATGATTGCTTCTGTCAGTATATTGTCACTATTCTTTCTTTCCTTTGCTATTCTTACTAAAATTCAAAGTCAAAACAAGCTTGTGTTTGTTGAGGCTGGCCTGATTCATCTGCTATACAGTTGCCAAATCCTAGAACCTAGGTTTTGCTTCACTTTTGTTCTGCTAATTACCATAATTTGTTGCAGAGGTTGGCCATCCTTCAGAAGCGCCATTGCAACTCAAATCTGCGGGCAGAGGCTCTCTGCTGCATACTTCATTGAGACTCAGCAAGCAAAATTTGGTGCGATGCAATTAGCCTGTTGGTCCGTCGGTTAAGTATCCATTTAATAGTACTGGTCATTCCCTTCTCCATCTGATATTAAGGAAATAAAGTGTCTAATCTTGCAAACAATCCAAAATGCAAGCAAAATGTTTGAATTGTCATTGGTGTGATGAGATTTCTATCTACTCTGATGTGTTGAATTCATATGATTATCGTGCAAGTGAAACTTCACCTGTCCAGCTTCTGTTTACTGCTCCTTTGCAATAGAGTTATCTTTAATGACTCTAATTCCCTTTGAAGAAGCCAGTGGGTATATTAGTTGCTCAGGCGATCAAGCTTGCATGCAAAATTGCATATATGTTCCCTTTCATGAAATCAGCCGTTCATCCTGGTTGCAACCTATCCTGCTTTGAAAAAAGCTTGCTCACATCCTTGAGGTTGGTCAACTGTAAACTAAACAAGGCAAATGGTCATATAATTCCTAGCTTCGTTTCGAGTCAGCATCAGTTAAAGGCAGTTTCATTGACCTATAACTCTTCAGGGTAAAATCTCGTCTTGGTTACTGTATAATGACTCTAATTCCACTATCCTTTTATTGAGAGGAAATTCATTGAATGATGAATTTCCAGCTGCTTCTCCGTCTGATTGACAAAACCAAAATTCAAGCCTCGTGCTGCTTGATATCTCAGACAACAAAATTGTTGGCCAAATTCCTAACAACGTTGGTTACTTGTTTCCAGTACTGTCTCACCTAAATGCGTCTCGAAATGCTCTCCGCGGCATCGTTCCTTCCTCCCTTGGTAATATGTCGGTCTTGCAAGTACTAGATGCATCTTACAATTTCTTGAAATTGTAAATTCTTGCAAAAGCTTAGGAAGAATAATCCCTTGCTGTTTCAGTTAATCCTGTCTGACAACAATTTCCATGGTGAGGTTATGCCAGTTTTTTCAAATATGACAAAACTTACTTGCGTCTTGGAAACAATGGCTATCAATCAAAAGATTTTTTCAGTAAAATTCATATGTGAACTTTGTTTTTATGGGGCCAACTCCAGGACTTTGATCCTAGGATGACCGGGGTGAGGGATCTACTGTGCGCGCTTTAACCGTTAGACTAAACTATTTTGGATAAATTGATATGTGGGTTTACTCAAAATGCAATGGAATCTTGCTATTTACTATTCACATTAAAATAATAAGAGTAACAATTACAAAACTTATTTGAAAAAATTAAGTTAAAACAAATGCAAAAGGAAAGAAGAAGAAGAAGAAGAAAAATGAATCATAAAAATTGCAAAGTGGAAGTCCGTCTACGATTTCCTAGTGGCCCCAAATATTAAATACAATTAAACAAATATAACATGTGTGTAATTTTGTATAATGTGAATTAGTGGTCGGATTTGGATTTTACAAACTTTCTGAATGGTAAGGAAGTTGTAAACTTTTCCCTTTTAAAATAGATTTTGCTCCGATTATACATACTCATTGAAACTAATATTAAAAATAACCTCCCACTCCATATAAAATACTGCATGCGTCAACACCAATTTCAACCTGAAAATTATTCATTTAATTTAAAAGATTTTTTTTTTTGAAGAATATAGAAAAACCAATATATATAATACAGTTACCTCTTCATGTTGATGGTTGTTCACCATTTTGCATAGGAACCTATTACATGAACAGCAATACATATTACTAATTAATTTCTAATAAGCCACAATTTTCACATAGTATGCTATTTATAACTGAATAAAAATAAAGTAACAATTACAAAATTTATTAAAACAAATGCTAAACAAAAGAAAAGGAAAAAAATCAACCTTAAAAATTGCGTCTGTAGTTGCCGATTGCCCCAAGTATAAAGTACCAGAGCTTGCCCTCTACAACATATCAAATTCAATTTGAGCTTTGATACATACGTAGTCATTGGAGTTAAAAGCAAACTTTCTTATTTTAAAAAGGAGAATTTTTTTATGAAGTTCCAAAGTTTTCAAAAGGGAAGTTTTAAAATTTTCATTTTTATTAAATAGGAAGGAAAATTTTAATACTACTCCAGTACCTACGTAAAATATAAAGTTTAATTTATTGAATATACTTTGAGCTGATGCAGCTATTAGTGTTAGCTTTAATCTGTTATTACAACGGTTTAAATTAAAAGTTTTTCCGTAAAAATAGCTATTTAATTAACATTTTAATTTAAAATGCCAAAAAGACTAAAAAAAGAAAAAAACATTAATTGTTTAATTAAATTGTAAAAAAAATTTATAAAAGCTAAACATATAGTGTTAATATTTCATACAAAGCTTCATGCTATTATAAAAGTTATGTTACAGAACTCTATAATGAATATAGATAGAGTTTTAACTTGGTCAACACTAAAAGCTAGTTCGAAAGCCTTTGAACTAAGGCCAAAGGCTTGGTCTAAGAGTGCTAGATACCAACAGTGACAATAAACAAGATAGCTAGAACTGCAGTCTATTCAACATTTTTAATAAAATCAGAAAGGGGAGCCAAAAAAAAAAAAAAAAAATCAGCCACTTAAGTGTAGGCAGAACCTTCACCAGAAATATGGTAAAATTTGCATCAGCAATTGCATTCCCCACCATGTCTAATTGTGTCAAGTTCAAGCCTTTCAATACAAAAAATGCTTCCCAATAATTTGTCATGCTGAGCCCATCAATCACAATTTTATCCTGCTTCCATTCGCTTCCAACCGAATGAGACAAAGGAGAGGAACACAGATACCTTCTCGTGTCGATAGAGTGTGCACCTATCTCGTTGTATGAGATATCCAGCACTTTTAATGAATTCAACTGTCTCAAAGGTTCCAAAGCAGTGAAACTGGAGAGTTTATTTTTACTCAAACACAAGTAAGAAAGTAGCTGCATAGCCTCCAATCCTGCCATATACAAACAAATTATGAGTTTTTTTTTTTTTCATTGAACGATACAAAGAACTGTAAAGAAGGATTTAGGTTCATAAAGATACAGGCAGTTCAGAAAGGAGGAAGGAATGTGTTAAAGACTTCGGTAACTTGTGAAAGCAATTTACCTTCAATTGATTGAAGATCATTCTGACTAAGGTCTAGCATTTGGACCCACAATAATTTCTCAACAGACCCTATTCGTGATAATGATAATTTATTGAGTCGTAAACACATAGGATATGCGTGGCTTGGTGAAGTCAAGTCCTTGTAGCGAAAGCAGTGACTCAGTATAGATTCCCTGCTAGAGATCACCTGCACAATCATAGTGAAACTGCTCAAGTTATGTAAAATTTAGTACTGCGATCCAAACAAGTTCCCATTAATTAAAATCCGCATGCCTTAATCATAACCAGATTTCTTTGATTTAAAACTAAACAACATGAGGTGAGAAGCTCATAAAATGCGAAACCAAATTCTTGTTGCCAGTATTAAGAATGCAATTTAAAATGCGTTGTCCTAGACATTTCTAAGCAAGACAGTGATATTAAAAGTTTATGTATTCTTAATCTTATGTATTTAAAGACAAACAATCCTTGAAAGAAAAAGAAAATACCCGTTGCAACAAAACCAAACTGTGTTTGTCCTTGTAGTATCGAGAATGTGATGGATCCAACTTCATCAATTCACTATATAGTTTCAGAACTTCTTCACAATGGACCAATTTGTTAGAAGACATTAACGAATCATGAGCAGTCAACAGTCTTGCAAGTGTGAGCTTTCCAATTTTACTGCAAAACAGAAACAGAGTCAAGAACAAGGGCTTCCCAAATTTATTGTTGCTCATCAGATGAAGCAGGCTTACCAATCTGACAACTCTCGGAAGTTCTCTATCTCTTCTGCTATGATTTTCGATTGCCATGTTGTAGCTTCTGGCTGATGTTCATTTTTTATGCTTAGGTGATTGAGTGAAGCAACTAGAATTGATTCCAACAAATGAGGCTCAAAAAGATGAAAGTTTTCATCCATCCATGATATTCTCTCTACAGCTACCCCTTCTGCAAGTTCTGTCTTAACAGGTAGTGCATGTACTGTAAATGCAAAATGAGAAGAATGGCTATAGTGAAAACCACGAGAAGAAACAATTCCTTCACAGTGTCCAAGGGTAACCTCTACAGGATAAGCTTCTAAAGAGTGGATATCCACATTGGGAAAACCTAATTTTGTAACCCAAACTTGGGCAGCTGAAGTGTTATTTGCTGAAAGAGGTTTCCAAATGAGCTCTTCAATTGAGTTAGATTTAGATGCAACTGTCACTGTAGATGAGGTCACACCTTCAACAGCCTGATTAAAGTACAGAATGAGTGGAAATGTTCTGGAATCAAATTGGAACATATTGAATGGAGATGAAGCGTGACTGTCCATACACCTATCCCCTGATAGAATGAGCTGAGAACCATGAGCAGGCCATGAAGAAACAAGCAAAGGCTGCTGAGCTTCAACAGTTTGCTCGAGAAGCCAAAGATGATAAAACCAACCACTTTGATCATCTTCATCAGTAAAAAGAGCTTCACGTACCAATTCATACTCCCTGGTTAAAACCTCGTCTTTTTTGGTAAACCCTTGCACATTTTTTTTCACCAAATTAGATAGGAGAAAACTGCAAAATTTTCACATCAACATAACGTTATTAAGAGATGTGCCCCACAAATCAGGAGACATCATATCATTAACACATGTTCCTAGCAATGGACATCACATTTTAACATTGTAGATTTCTCACTAATGACTACACATTACTCTTAATGATAATTTTGAGAGGGGAAATGCCACTAAGTGACCTATAATCTTTGCTCTTAGGGAGTTACAGGAATCATTAAAATTTTCTAGCTAGCCCCATCCATCGTAAAGAAAATGAATAGGGCGTGCTACATCAGAGAAGAACAATATTAAATCTACAAACCAAATATCCTTCAAAATCAAGAAGCATCATCAACCATAGTCACAATCCTTCAAAATTAACCAAGTTATAACCAGAATCACTAGTCAGCATCTATTTCATATACTCAGACTACACTAGCATAAGAAATCTTAAGGTATTTTGATTGCATAACATGTCGGTGATCAACTCTAATTTCAATAACTTAAGCAATTACCAAAAAAAAAAAAAAAAAAAAAAAAAAAAAAAAAAAAAAAGCTTTTAACGAAATAACTAACACACCTTCGATTGTGCCATGCAGAATAGTTACTGATATTCTTATCAATTAGATTCTGGGTACACTCTAATTCATCTTCCTCCGATCTGTTCATCAACGCCGCAACAAATCTGGACAAAAGTAATAATTCAATAAAATAACTCTAAGATTCACAATCTAAACATCTATTTAAATCAAGAATTAATTCCAAAAGCAGCTAGGTCTTCACCTCCGGTAACTCCAAGCATGAAAATTCCTAGGATCCGCATTTTGGAGCTTCTCCAAAAGCCTCAATTCCTTCTCTATAGAAGAATGGCCTTTACTTAGCACCCACTTACGATGATGCCAAGCCCCATATGACTTGAAATTTTGCCTTAGTGCACTCTCTACCTAAAATGTTCACCAAATTCACTGAATCAACGAGAAAAAGAGAAAAGAAAGTTTTTTGCTTCTAGTTCCTAAACTAAAACATAGAAACACTCAATTTAGTCATATTATTAGCTGCTAATCAAATTAGGATTTCGAAATTTTCAAACGCACTACTCGAAGTTCCTCATCGAGAATTGACTTGACTAAATTAGGATCAGACACAGACTGGGCCAGATTGTGTTCAAGGGCAAGTTTTCTATAGTTCCAAGCAGTGTAAAATTCTGGATTGATCTCGAGAAGCTTCGCGCTTAGCTCCACAGCTTCCTTATTATAACTGCCAACATTTAAAAAAAATGATAAATAAATAAATTAAAAGATGCTTGGATCGCGAGAAAAGGAAAAAATGACGAGAAAATTACAATACATTTTCTGATGGTGATTGGAGAGAAACTGAGATTGTAAGGCACGTAGCTTCTCTGCTTTGGCAGTCGAAGCAGTTTCATCTTCGGGTTTCAGGGCTTTGCGAGGACGGCCGTGCATTTTCTTCTTGTTCAACAAGCCAACCCAAAACACCAAAGAATAAGATTTCTCTTTTCAGATTTTCTCCCTAATGAAATTAAATTGTTTTCTTAATCAGAATTTGAACTTGCCTTTTGGCCTCCGTTGAATAAAACCAACACTCGGAAGAAATGAATAATGGAAGTAGAAAGTATAATTTATTTATAAATGAATTTGTCTGAGATAATCTAAAAAATAAAATTCAATTGAATTTCACTGTGTAACGTTTTTTTGGATAATTGGTAAAAGGCTATCGCGAGGCCAATCCACCAATCAGGCCATAGTATTAGGCTAATCCGGCCCATAAAATCCATTGCTCAATCCCGATCGGCCCAGCTCACCGTCCCCTGTTTTCCTATTTTGCGTGTTCTAACTGTACTCATCGCGCCATTGCTCCTCACCACCATTTTCCGCCTTGCGCTTCCTCTTGCTCAGGTTCAACTTGTTTTTTTCTTAATTTCTGTTCAGTTAGCATTCTCTGTGTGAGTGAGTGAATGTTTTTTTTTTTTTTTGGCCAAGTTGGAAGAGACCCTTCAATTATAAGCAGTTTATTTGCTATTCTGCTAGTTATTGTCTTTTATTCTTTTTTTTTTTTTTAGGGTTTTTTTTTTCCCCAGTTCTTTGAATTACACGTTGTTCTTAGTATTAGCTCGAGATTACTTTTTAATATTGGTTCCTTAGCTTGCATGTTTATTTTCTAATCTGGATTGTGCCCATTTCGGTAACATTAGCTTTCTGTTTCCAAATTTCGTTGTTTGGCGTTGGTGTATTTTTGAATTGGAGGCTAATATGGGTTAAAAAGGGTTTCTCGTAATTTGTATGTTTTTTGTTTTATTTGCTCGTTTTGTTCTTACTATTATTATCAGTAGGGAGAGGAGATTGGAAAGAGTGTATTAGGTGCAATGGAGTTCTGAGATATGAGAATTTAGCCTATAGGAAGAAAGATGGAGAACCAAAGGAGAGTTGATGTTGGTTTAGCTGTTTATGGAAAATCTTAAGCATCTCCCTCTTCCATTGGCTATGGGAATATTAATTCTTTAGCTTTAAATAGTTAAATTCTTGCAATTAAGCTCATAATTCTCTATGGGTATCTTTCTTTTATTTACACCTATTTTTCTTTGTTTAATTGTGTTTTTCAAAAGTTAATTATTAACTTCTTTCTTTTCTTTGATAAAGTTGAGAACTTTCGTTTTTCTCTTTGATGAAGTGTATTTAAAGCAATATCAAGGCAAGATGGATTAAACTTCTTTTGGAATGATTTTGATCGATAGAGCTTAAGAGCTATTGATTTTACAACTTGAGTGAGTAAATCTAAATGGAGGAGGATTCAGAAAGAAGAAGAGAAAGATTGAAAGCAATGCGTACGGTAGCTGCTCAGGCTGAAGCTTCTAGTCATGTTCAAACTTCATCGGGTTATATTGGTTTCCTTGCTAATCCGCTGCTTGAGAGTCCAGAGCTTACACAGGAACCATCTCATGCAACTCCAAGATTCGATTTTTATACCGACCCTATGGCTGCATTTTATTCTAACAAGAAGAGAAGTGGAGTTGGTAACCAAGCACCACAAGGATATCTTACACCTCCAAGTGATAGTGCTTCTTCCATGTCGCAGTTTTCATCACCTCATCCAGGTATGGTGCTACTTGAACAGCCATTTAATTGTCATTTTTGCATACTAACTAAATCATGAGTTTTTGTTTCTGCTTCTTCAATTTGTTTTATTTGGTGTCATTGTTTGTTGGCCGAGAACTTGGTATGTGCTAATTGAAAAGTTTTTCAAGGATGTGAAGGTTGAAATTTGTGGGACAAATTTGTTCTAACATCTAAAATTATTTAAAATTTATTGAAGTTTGAATTTTGTTGTCAATAAATACAAATGAGGTTCCATAGTCTGATTTCCATTTCGTTAAGATGCGTTTTATTCCACTTACCATGCTATCAGGATGTTAGAAACACATTGCACCATGGAGGTCTCTTACTTCCAGCAACAAACAACTTTTATAATCACAACAAGGTTGCCTTTTTCTTCACTATTAGGCTTACCAACCATGAGGTCTTGGTACCAAGTCTTCATTTGCCTGAGTTTTAGTTCTTGTGCATAGGGAACTTGTATCTAATTTGGCATGGTCCTGTAAGTGCATCATGGATTTCACGTTACCAAAAGAACAAAAATATATGTGTAGTATGTGTAGTCATATGATATTAATTTTAGCCCTTCCCTTATCATGTCTTATTCCATTCCATTTTATTTAGCAGGACCAAGAAATCCTGATATGACGCCCTTTCCTTCTAATCAAATGCAACACAATTATTCACCCTACCAGATAATGGATCAAACACAAGTTGCTTATAACAGTATCCCCCCCTGTACAAGTCCAAGAGCTGGTCCTTTCCCCATGCATCAAGGAATGCCTTATGCACAGGGTGGGTCTAGTGGTGTAGCTTACTATCACAACAATGCTCCCCATAGAGGTATGACCAGTCAATACCATGTCCGCAGTAGAAACCCAAACTTTCAACCAGAAGGAAACCATAGTTTTAATTATGGACAAGGCAGGCCCCTTTCTCCCCGGATTGGCAACAATCCGTACTTTGGCTCTGGACGTGGAGGTAGTTCTACTCATTCAGGAAGAGGTCAGGGCCAGTGGCATGGAAGCAGTAGAAGCCAAGTTTCTGGAAGGAATGGTGGCAGAGGGCGAGGTTTTTATTCTCATGGTATTGGATCAGATGCAGCATTGAGGGCAGAGTCCTTTTATGACAAGTCTATGGTTGAAGACCCATGGCAACGTTTGGAACCTGTTCTATGGAAGGGATTGGATGGCTCTTCAGATTCCTGGCTTCCAAAGTCAGCTAGCATGAAAAAGCCAAGAGTTTCAGAGTCTTCTAACAAGTCCAGTTCTCAAAACCTTGCAGAATACCTTGCTGCAGCATTCAATGAATCAGTCAATGATGCCCCAAGTACATAATTGCTGCTCTGATGCAACGGAGAACTTTTCTACCCCTCTGCGACTGAAATTGATTCCAACACACAAGATTGTTGCATTGCCATAAGGAGAAGGAAGGAGGAAGAAGCTATCTTGGTAAGCTAAAACAGGCACTGACCAGAGTATATGCCATAAGGCAACCAAATGTTACATACACCACTTTAAGAAAAGGAAATCTGCGATTGCATGCGATGGTTTTCAGATTTAAATGCAGCTCGGTACATGGATTCTAATATACTAAACTCATCTAGCATAGCTGGTCGATTTAATTCATAAATTATGCTTGATATTTCCTAGATACCTTTCATCATTGATAAATTTTATTGTTGCAATCTCAGTATGATCGACAGAGGGAAGATCGTATAATTCACGGTGCAATTAGATTCATATTTTCTGGTAGAAGGATTCTGCTGTTAGAGAATTTTATGGAGCACAAAATGAACCCTTTCATCGACCTCCATTTTCGTTTTATCGGCAGGATCGAATTCTATATGTTTTGTACACCTTCACAAATGCCACTAATTACAGAATTGACACGCAGCATGTTGAGGAATGATAAGAATTGACGCGCAGCATGCTTAGGAATGATAAGAATATCATTTTCCAAGTAGTTCATATCTTCATCTTCTCTTCCTTTACTGTGAGAGACTCAACAGTGATTCACGTAGGAAAAAGAAAATCCTACTTTAAAAAGCATTTGAGACAAAGGAAACAAACTGTTTGATCGACTAGTTGACTCAAAAGTATAGTTTTTCAACACATTTCTTTAAAAAAGGATTCCGTAAATATTTCTCAGAATTTAAAATACTATTATGCTGCATATTTTTCTTAAAATTATAAAAATAAACAAATAATTTGAGTAAAACAACATTTGTTAAAATTTTTATATTTATTTATAATTATATTTTACAAAATTTTAAAAAATTTTGGGGGCTTCCTGAGGACCCATGCCATCCTAGATCCCAAGTCAATTGATGGCCTCCATTGACCAAAAAACATTAAAGGGAGTCAGTTGCTCAAATGACAACACCAATCAGAGTCCTCAAAATGCAGAACCTGTACAATTCTTCCTATCAAAATTGATAATTGGTCAATTACAGAACGGTGGCGTTTGTATCCATTTATTCATTCATCAACTCTGAATGTTAACTAGAATTCTATGAATTTCTTGCAGTTGTAATTTTGGGAATTAGGGTTGCAGAGCATGCATATTAGTTTATCATTCAAGACTTCAAAACTAGGGAGCTGCACATCTTTAATTAGTTAAGGACTAATCATAATTTTCCTGTTCCAATCAGAAAAACCCTAGACAGTTAACTACATCCTAAAATTTTCCACCTTAATGAAACTCCTGCTTTAATTTAATGCCACAAACTTGTGCAGAACCCATTCTGATGAATTTTTTTTCTCTCACAGCAAATCTCGTCTGCGAAAGAATGGATGAGCTGTCCAGCCAAGCTTGCTGGGTCATCAATCAAAGCATCCACAAAAGCATTGACAACCCTTCTCTCTTGCATTGTAGCTTTCAGGCTGAACCAAGTGAGAAATTTTACTCTAAAATCTTCGCCTATGTGACCTTGATGCTCTAACCATTTGATTACTCTTACTGAATATTCATAGGCACTCTCCTCTCTTTGTTTTTTACAACTCAAACCTGAAATTTCTTGCATTCTGATCGATTTACAAGGTGTGGAAGGAGAGAGTGGTGCAGGACTCACAGGTGATACGACTTCTATGGATGGAGGCAGACAGCATAACCCTTCATTTTTGTTCTTCTTGATGTGCTTCATTGTTTGTGATCTTGTTGAGCGGTCCTCTACCAAGTTGATGTTTTTGGAGTCGGTTGATTTCACCTGAGATTGAATTTCAGTAATTTTAGTATTTTCTTCCTCTCCATATTCAACAGAAATACTAACAGTTTGTTCTTTTGATGTAGGAGTGATCCATTTAGCTTCCAAAACACTCAGAATTCCTGTGCTGCCAAAGAAAGAAGCCTTGCAGAAATACTCGGTAGAGGGAGTTAAATCAGTTATCCTAATACTCTTCTCCGGCTTCAGTATAATAAAATTGGGTTTGTGTGGATAATCCTTCGCTGTAGACTCCCGATGCCACAGCATGCAACCTAAGAAGTCATCAGACAGTTTGTCCATGTATTCAAGCACAATGACCACTGAACTTGAGAAGGATTCTTCAAAGCGAATCTGACAAGCTGAAGGAATGAAGTGTAACAAGCAAACATTACAGAAAATCAGATTTCCATTTCACAATTGTAAAATAATTCTATGTTGTAATTTCATGCTTGCATTCTATATGTAAAAGGAACTTACAAACTGGCTTTGTATTTTCCATATGATCCACACTGCAGTCAGAAACCATTGAATCAAAAACTTCAACTGCAGAAGCACACAGATTCTGAACCTCAGCACCACAGGAGAGCCTATTAACAATTCCCCGTGCCATCTTTGCATACACCAGATCAAGAGGTCCCAACTCATTCTTCAGCAGTTGCAAGGCAGATTCCAGGTTCTTCTGCATTTCCTTGTATCTTTCAGTCCCTGTAAGTATCTTATGACCCAAAAGGACTCGTAGACACAACACATCAACTCTTCTGGCCTCTTGGGCAATCAACAATTGTTTCCTCCAGGTTCTGTAAACAGCAGACATTTGATTAGCCAGTTTCTTCCTCAGAGTAATAAGCTAAGAATTTTATTAAGCAGGTAGCAGTAGCAGGTATCAAACCCCTTCTGCGCCCCCCCCCCCCCCCGTTCTTCCTTCAGATTAATAAGCTAAGATTTTATTAAGCAAGGTAAGCAAGAGCAGGTATCAAACCCCTTCTGCGCCCCCCCCCCCCCCCAAAAAAAAAAAAAAAAAAAAAAAAAAAAAAAAAAAACCAAAAAAAAAAAAAAAATCCCAAGCAACCCAAACACATCATGGCAGTAAAAATATTACAATACCCCATTTTCTCATTCCCAAACCTGTGTCATCAATATGCAAACCCATAAGAAATGGTCGATCAGTCGGGTCCCCTGGACAAAACAAAAAAAAAACCAAAAAAAAAAAAAAATCCAAGCAACCCAAACACATCATGGCAGTAAAAGTATTACCAATACCCATCTCATCCCAAACCTGTTCATCAATATTCAAACCCATAATAAATGGGTCGGATCAGTCGGGTCCCTGGAAAAACCTGACCTGTCACGATCCTTAAATGCAGCAAGCGGCAAGCACAAAATACATGATTTCACATTTTCAACTAGCAATGGTTGGCAACTCAATTTCTCTGCCTAACTTATGTCTGTTATTGTTTATGCAGCCAAAAAAGCATAAATTGATGATATCTACGATAGAAGAGGGTAATATAAGAAGCAGACTTACCTCATTAGTCCATTCTTTTTTCCACAAGAAATACAATAGAAATTGCCGTCCAACTTTGTACATGAACCAATCTTCATAATTCCAGTTCTTTCATCCTTCAAAGCACATATCAAATGGCATGTAAGTCCACATGACTTCTCATCAACAGAATCAGAACCACAGGTTAACCATAGACTAGGATCCTTGTTATCATCAAAATAGTGACAGATACAACAAGAACATCTTTTGCAAAAAACGTCATTTGGAGATAATGCAGCCCTGCATGCAACATTCTGACAGAAACGGATTTTAACTTCTCTGTTACGCTCCTGAGAAACGAGATTAAGGTCAGTTGATTGTTGAAGATGGGATACTTTCTGCCTTTCCCTTTTAAATCCAGTCTGAAGTTTAGCAGGAGACGACACAATAATATCATTAGTCTTGCCGCTCTTGGACTTTTGTGAAACCAACTTCAGTAGGTGCTCTATCATTCGAAGTTTAGTATATCCTGAGTATTTTCTCTCTTTACCCATCTCGGCACAGATGATTTCGAGAAGCTCTCTGCGAGTGAATGAACTAAGAATCTCTGGGGCATCCTCTGACCATTGGGCAATCTCTCGAATAAGTTCTCTTTTCTCTCCCATGCTTAGTTGACTGCAGTGTGCAGGGTCAAGGACAAAGCCTGAAGAACAACCAAATTATTAAGTTATAAAGTTGAATTTCAGATCTCCCTAAAACACATGCAGACAAAAACAACAATCAATATTGTCCTGTCCAGCAACAAATGGGGATGGGTGCCAGTTCTCAGCACTCAACAGTATTTTCAAACCATGACATCCAATTAAAATCACATAAAATGACTCTCAGCAGTCAGCAACAAAAACCATTTGCATGCAGAATACAGAACTCTTGCCAATTGACCATATTTGTGCGTTTAAGCAAGTTACAGTGACCATTGAAGCGCAAGATAATTCCCAACTAATGCAAATAAAAATACTTGTTTAATGCTTAAACATATCTTATTGCCATAACTGTATTATTATCACTGTCATCATCATAGTCCAAAACTTAGATGGTCTATAATAACATTGTCAGCTAGCTGGCTTAAAAAAAATATACTGTGATATTCATTAACCCTGCTTCACTATTCGTAAAATTGTCGCACAGATCAGTTGGCATAAACCAGTCATGCAAAACGCTTTCCCCGCGCATTGGTGAGAAGCAAGGAATGGTCTAAAAATTTCATTTCTTATAAGCTATATAATTAGCCAAATCTGGATTACCCATGTAAGAAAAATACCTTAAAAAATTGAGTAACCACCATAAATGAATAGAAAAGGTCCATACAACAGAACAAAACAAATTTCTGGGTGTTGATATGAGCAAAAAAGTTTTTCTCTTGCACAAAGGATATTGAACAAAAGCAGCAATGTACCCATTGCTACCACTCAAACAATGAGAGAGGAAGAGTGAAGAGGCCAAAAAATTGACACTTTCCGTATACATTATATTGCATTATGCGGCAGTTCAAGAGAAAGTCCAGAAGATTTCACCTACTACCCAATATACATTGTTAGGAAAAACCAACAACAAACACGCCTAACAAAGAAAATAGTGAAAACCAGAGGAGACACCAAAAAAGACGCAAAAACCCAGATGGGAAAAAGCATAACGAGACATACATTGTCAAAAAGAACACTAAAAAGTGAGATATAGCTACCTCCATTAATTGTAAAAGCATACACCCAAAATAAAAGCTAACCACGAAATAATAATAATAATAATGATAATAATAATAATAATAATAGAAAAACAAATTTGAAAACTGACCTGAGAATCCTCCTGAGGCCATGTCTAATGGCCTTTTCTTTTTTGGTTTGCTCATAACAGGAGAGAGAGAGAGAGAGAGACTAAAGCAGTTAACAAGTAGGAGTCTTATTTGCAGAGAAAAAGAGTTATATACAACAACGAAAAGAAATTCACGATAGATGGGTTTTGGAGTAATAAAAAAAATAGATAATGGGCAAAATGTGAAGAAGATTTAAAGGATTTACAAACTGATAAAACCCGACGGGCGAATTTTCCATCTCTGTATTGAATAAAGAATATTTATTTATATAGTATATACGATTCTGATGCAATTCAGAAGGGCAAGAGAAGGAAACTGAGCGAAGGATTCTCGATTTCCTTCCCTCTCCTTTCTTATTCTTTCTTTTTTTCCTTTCTCTCTCAATTCAATGCATGAATTGATTCGTCGACCACGCGCACGGCGCTTCTCTTTGTGATGTAACCGAGGAGTAGAGTTCGGTTGTACCTGTTTATGTGAGAGACGTGACCCAAGTGGGGTCCTTTATAATTAAATTACTATTTAACCCTATTCGATAAAATTAAGTATTCTGTTAAAAAAAAAAAAAAACAAATTAATTCTCTTAAATTATAATAAAAATTAAAATAATTTAATAAAATTAATTTTTAAAATAATTATTATATCTAATATAAATAGAGATAAAATTTAAAAAAAATTATTAGTCTTTAAAATATTCAAATTGATTTATATTTTGGCATGAAACAATCATTTGAAACTATTTATATTTATAACTTATGATAAAATGAGTATTATAAACTATAAATGATCCAAATGTTAACTGACGAATGAAAAATTATTGCCAAATAGACCTTTATTTTTATCATTTAATGTAACATTTGAAAATGCATAAAATGCAATGAGTTTACCAATTGATTATATATATAAATATATTTTTATATATTATGAACATTATTTATCATATATCTAAATAAACTTTATTTATTATGAACATTATTGTTTTCTGCAATTTGAACAATTTATTTTTTTAGAAATTGGTCTAACAAATACATATAAATCAAATTGCTATTTTATTTATGTTGCATATAGTATATACTCATAATATTAATATCGAGTGTTCATATAATAATATTTTTACGATTTTATTATATGATTTTTTTTTTTTTAGTTGTTATGTTAATTGACTTTTATTATAATTACAGTTGCAAAGTATACTACTATTATTTTATATAATTTTTGTACGAATTTTTATTTATATGATTTTTTTTTTTTTAGTTTGTTTATGTTAATTGACTTTTATTATAATTTACAGTTGCAAAGGGTATTACTACTATTTATTTATATATATATATATATTATATATATAATATATCATATAGTATAATTTTTTTTTTTTTTTTGAAGGAAAATATATGTTATAGACTTAAAGGCTATCAAAGCGCAGAACATCAACGATACAAGTAGGATTTTTGAAGGAAAATATATGTTATAGACTTAAAGGCTATCAAGCCGCAGAACATCAACGATACAAGTAGGATGGGAAACCGACCAGTCCATCAAATCTGCTGTTGAATGAGATGCTTGAGCCAACGAATAAAAAATATTGAGTATGGGAATATAAACTTATTTTATATTTTTTTATGTATTATATATAAATCATTTGAATAAAATTTTGAACATGTGTATAAATGGGTTTGTATACCCGAACCCATTGAATATGGAAATGGTTATAACATACCATACCCAATAAGATACTGAGTAAGATATGGAATAGGATTTGAATATGGGCATTGCACTGTGATCCCAATTTTACCCATTGTCATCTGACTATTTATTTTACGATTTGCCTTTTTCAGTAGAGTTATTATATGGTGGGTGTCCACCTTTTTCTCATTTAGTAAGTCCTTCCATCAGTCCCGTACACTTACAGCAGATCGCAACGGTACAATAACCGTACGATTTGGAGCTTTTTGGGTCCTAACCATAAAATAATTTTGGATAAAACAAAAAAGCCCAATCTCCAAACGAATTCTGTCTACCATGTTCGTGCCCAGAGTTAAGATTTTAAAACTTTGGCCCAATCATCGATTTCCAATGTTTTAACACTATTTTTTTGAAAAAAAAAATTATTTGATAGTAATGTTTATTTCTGTTAGTTCCTTTTATCACATGCATTATATGTGTATTTTTTTCATATTAATATATATTTTTACAAATTCAAATATTAAATATAACATCATATATAACATTGAAAATGAAAACCTAAAAACATTAAATTATTGGGCCCTTAGTGGGTTTGTTTTTCTCGTAGCTCTCCATCAAATAAAACGACAGCACGGATAACAGGGTAATATTCTAATTTGCACGTTTCGTCGTTGGACATGATCATAATTTCTTCTCGTGGAGTACTATTCTATTCCCCTTCGTTCATAGATAGCGAAAGGAAAATTTTCCCTCCAACGACACCGAAGAGCTTGGGAATTAGAGTCGTTATTATGTGCGCACTGTAGTGCAGTCAGGTCCGGTTTTGTTACGTTCAACTGTCGTTTCCACTTTCCATTGCTATTATATTTCCAACTAACCTGAATAGATTACGGAAACATATTTAAGCCCACCATCGTAACCCCCCAAGCTACCCTGAAATGGAAACAGAAATCTAAACCCAGACGAAACCAGGATGACTGTTGGGCTTTCTTTTTTTTTTTTTTGATACGAATGAGAGGGCAAAGAAGGAGGTTGAACCAGAAAATTTTGACCTAAAGGCAATATCTACAGCCAGATTGCAAGAAAATATGCAATTTGGTTGGCCACTCTATAACAATGTTAGATTTTAATCCTCCAATCTCGGCGTGAAAGCTCTTGACTTTGAGAAATGAGATTATAAAACTTCAAATTATCAACAACTGTACAAGAAAGAAGCTGGATAGATACCAAGGAGTCCATTTCAACTATTAGCTAACGATAGCTCAACTCCTATGTGATCAACAACCGTTACAACCCAACAGCCTCCATAAAACTGCATATACCCAAACGAATAAGAATATCCCGTTACCACCTATCAACATGATCATGAACCACACCACGACCATCATTTCTTCCTGGATTCCCTTTCGAAGCACCATCAGTGTTCAATTTGGTCCATCCCAACTCAGGAACAGACCAATCAACAGACACTATCCATTTACTCAAAGAATTGTCTCTAGAAAGCCATTGCTCCCAAGCCATTGTCTCTATACTCGATTTGAAACTTGATTTGGCAAAAATGATTGGGATCAAAGTAAAGCTTACCATTGAAGAAATGTCCATTCCTACATTTCTAAATCCACCGCTGAAGATAGTGAAAGACTAACAGCATATATATTAGTCTAACACTTCATTTGGAACATGAAGGGAGTAAAATAATAGAGAAAGGAAAATAATGAAGATTTTTCTTTATCTGGAAGGCAAACGTTTTAGAAGAAAGAAAATCTTACTATTGAAGATTACAATTACATAATGTGATTTTGGGGATTTTGTAATTTAACAAAAATAAGTGAAATTCTCATTTTTCTCTGCTATTTTATCTCCAACATAAAAATATTTAAAATAAGTAGGTTTAGGTGAAAAATAATTCTATCCAAATAAAAGCTAATTTTGTCTTCCATTTTATTGAGCTGAATATTTAAATATAGTCAGTATGCTAATTTTACATAATGTGAATCTCTTGCTTTTTCTTGCATCACTAATTGCGTGTTTAAAGTAGCTTTGGATATTTTGATGTCCTCTTCTCATCCTTCTGCTAATGTCCGCTCTCAGATTGGTGTTTCTTGGATTGCTTATCAGGCAGGTTGGATTAAGTTGAATTGTGATGATAGTGACATTTCTAATCTTGGTTTCACTAGTGGGGAATTTTATGGGAAGATGATTGGGTGGCTTTTCCATTAATATTAACCACTCAAACGATATTGATAGGTGAACTAACTTCTATTAGAACCGATTTAATTATGGCTTGGGATCGTGGTTTCTGGAATGTGGTGGAAACGGATTGTTTGTAAGCTGTTGGGTTACTCTCTTCGGATTTGGGACTTGCTCATCTTTTAGCGGCTCTTGTTTTAGATATTAAAATCCTATTGTATCAAGCTTGAGATTGTCCTCTCCATCATGCTTTTCATCAAATTAATTTTACGGTTGATCATCTGACTAAGTTAATATATTCTGCGCCTGTGGCATTAATTCCCTGAGGTAATTCTTAGTTTTCCCTTTATTTATATTTTCTAAAATAAGAATTAAAAGTAAAAATTTTTTAATTTACTTATAAATAATTTGAAGAAATATATTGTGTTAGTAGTAGTACTATATGTACGTACGTATGAGATTGACAGGAATGTTGTATTGTTACCATCATCCATGACAAAATGTCAAATGGCTTGGTTAGGTGTTTACCGGTTAACACTCACAATCAAAGAATTAAAAGAAATTAATACGTAGCACGTCATTCCATTTATGACGTGTACCTACAAAGAAATACAATTATACAAAGCTTTGTTATCCATATAATCAGCCGCAACATTATTCTCTCTACAAAACTTGACCAATTGACCTGGCATTATAGTAATTTAGAGACTCATGAATAATATTATTTATAAAATATATAAAAAATAAACATTAAAGTCTAACATAGTCTATAACTCTGGCCGCCCCTCTCTCTCTCTCTCCCTTTCGCCGTTAAAATTCCATTCTCTTCGCTCGGACACAAAATCAAGTATGTAGATACCGGGAGGAACTAATTCTTGTCTCTTATGACAATCCATCCTTATATATTTAGTTTTGTCGCAAATTTTTATGTTTTTTTATTAAATAAAATATAAATCTATGTCTATTCTGATATAGATTCATATTATTTTTGTTTCTGTTATTGTTTGTGTTTTATCTCCATCTTGTATAGAATTTATGATCTCTCCATTTTATGTGGAGTTTTGTTTTGTTGTTTGCATTTGTTTGGTTTATTTGGATAGGTTTCAATTTGTGGAGAATTTTTTAACTATACGATGATCTTCGTGTTTTGGAGCCTAGTAGTACGGCATGTTCTTCTATTGGATTTAGTGGTTCAAATCATTTGCGTTCGTCATAAGCAACTAATTCATGGATAATTATTCATGTATAGAAGATTTGGAGAGTTCATCTAATCAACCACTTTTGAAAATCTATTCGTTTTCTCAAGTTTACATTCTATTTTTTATTAAAATTTCTTATTAGATCAGCTAACAATAATTATTTTATAATTTTTATTCTAAGTCTGATCTTCAAGAGATGGATCATGTCCTCCCTGTAATATTTATATTGATTTGAAGTTTTTTTAATGAAATCCTAATATTATCTTAAAAATAAAAAAAAAAACAAAATCTAAGCACTCTCAAACAGAGTTCAGAAGCCTATATTAATAGATAGAGAAATCAACTGTGGAAGTA